ATAACAACAAGTTGTATGTTGTTAAACTGATATTGACCATGATGAACACATGAACAGTCATTTGAAAAGGGGTGTGTGGCGTGAGAAATTATACACCGTGAAATTAATTTAGTTTTCGTCACGCGGCAAAAAAAAACTTGCCATGGAGTACTTCGAATGTTTAAATTAAAAACAAAAGAATAAAGATAACATTTTTTCACATAAAAGTCATAAAATACTAGACGTTATAGGCACCATTCGAATCACAAGTCACATCGCACACATGCCCCCGACATGAAATACCTCTTCGAGAATTACATGGTGTAATCAAAGAAGATCAAGTGGCGCCTCAAAAAGCCATCAGACCACCACGGATGGGGCCTAATAGGGCTGATGCTGATACGGAGTCGCGGAGAACCTAACGGGTTACCGGGGCTCCGGCTCGAAGTGCAAGAGTCTGACACTCCCTCCCGCCTCACCCAGGCGGGAGCAGTCATTCGATGATTTCCCTCCCTTAAAAAAAATGCGCTTTCGAAGTTTGCTTTTTGCAATAGTTCACCAGTTATTTTTTGCTATCTTCTTTATAAAACTGTTGTGAAACCAAGACAGAACCATTTTATGAAATATACTTCACGGTGTATAAAGACCATTATGTATTTGATTCCCAGTTTACACCACACTATACCAGTTCGTTATGTTATCAAAACTAGGTTATAAAATAAAGTACAACCAGATAATATATATTCGTCAAAAAGTACGGTTTAAGTGTTATCACAGTATTTAAGAATTAGATTATAGTAAATGTTTGTTAATCACTTTCTTTGAACATTTTAATTGCTTTGTATTAATTTATATTGTACCTTATTATGAGATAACACGTGTCTGTTGATTAGGGTTCGAAATAACATGTTTATTGGTGAAGTGGCTCTAAAAATATTGTTTTTATAGTATAGGAGAGTTTATAGGTGAAACTTTGTCTAATTATTATGATTCTGAATATCAGAAGATGACAACCAGCAACCGGGTGCCGTGCAGCGTGTCGCGGGTTCGATTCCCGCACGGAACAACACTTTGTGCGATCCACAAATTGTTGTTTCGGGTCTGGGTGTCATGTGTATGTGAATTTGTATGTTTGTAAACGTACCCACGACACAGGAGATAATCCTAATGTGGGGCAACAAAATTAAAAAAAAATAGAAAAAAAAGAAAAAAGATAAAAGAAAGGAAAGAAGTGAGGACGGGTGATCGATAATATTATCTTTACTGATTTTTTTTTCATTATTTCATTTTCTGATCTCGATTCTTTTGTCAATAAATCGCGAGTTACTCACATGAATATACTGAGAAAAGCTCTACTAGATTCGAGCCACACAAGGGCTCTTCCTCATTAGCAGAGTTCGCGGCGATGTCGCGCAGCGTCGGTGCTTGTGTGGGTGTTGCCTTGCGACCCCATCGCGTCTTCTGCTGGAAATCACGCGCGTTTGTTTTCAACTCCGGCTTGCGACGATGTTAAAACGCACGGTATGTTTACCAGTGACGTGTGTAGTGGATTCGATTCCGGGTTCGGCACAAAGTATAGCCCGCGATTTTTAGTTAATTTGGTATGTCTCACTACAGTTATTACAGAAACAAAGTAACCTGCCTACCTAATTTTCAAAAGGATAACCATCACTGAGAACACTTTATTTGCACGGTGGATAAATACTACGATTAACAACCCTCAGTATTAATTCAATACTCAATACTACAGAACCAAAATCCTCTCCAGAACCTATTTTCACGGCTCATACCTATTAAACCTGTCGGTTTTAATGAAAAACTGCATTGTAAGATAACGCATAAACGTGATAAACCCTTGTTATGTGCACAGATCTTATCTATACTGTATTAAATGATTAGAAAATAATATTTTAAAACTCCGATTCCGGCATTATGCAGCATGATATGGTAGATACAGATTTAGTTTGTAGTTCTTAGGTCGAGGTTAAGGTCGTTAGTATTTACGTAGAACCTAGTCCCTATTTATTTTTAAGTGTTTTGAAACTACATACTCGGTTTGGTTTTATGATGGTAAATAATAGAATGTGCACCATAAAAGTGGTTAATGGTGATGACAGGAATTGTAATGGTGTTGGGAATGATGATAGAACTTATCATTATGAAGAAGCGATTGATTTAACAGGTAAGGAGGATTAAAATGAATAGTAAGATCAAATGAAAAGACTGATGACTGTTGATGATGTGAAAGAGGTAAGTAAGAATCGTAGCAACTGGCGTTCCATAGTCTCTGCCTACCCCCATGGGAGACAGGCGTGAAGTTATCTATGTATGTATAAATAATAAAGTAAAAGTAGACTGTAGTAAGACTGTGAGTATGATTAAATTATATGATACTAAATCAATCCATTTATACAAATACTAAAGTACACGATCCAAATAAATAAAGTAACTTACTATAATTGGATAGGGAATGGGTGCTACAACTACGGTCTCCTGGCAGTCTTGAGTCTGGCCATCCTCAGCATGGCGGTGGACATCTTCGGCCTGTCAGTCATTGTCACCGGCAGTGAATGTGACTTCCAACTGGAGCAGTGGCAGAAGAGTGTCATATTGTCCATGCCTTTTGTTGGTAAGCTTTTTTCTTTTTTTTTATACCACGACGCGACGGTGGCAAGAAAATCACACGACCCACTTGATGATAGGCGGTTACCGTGGCCTATGTACGCTTGCAACACTTGGGGCATTACATGCGTCTTGCCGACCCTTAAAAAACCTAATCACTCCCATCGGTTTAAGGCCAAGGCACGCCCTTTAATAAGTTGACAAAACAGGTTTACTATTACTGTTAGGTAGGTCGAGTGGTAACTGCAACTGCCGAGCAAAGGGGTTTAGGCTTTGACCCTTGAGTCGAGCTAAATTAAGTTTTTTAGTTTTAGATAAGTCGGTACTGAGATTAACGAAAAAACACACAACAGTATAAAGCAATACTTTGATTTGGTAGTTGAACCCTTGCTCCGTAATTGCGCATATAGGAACTCGCCTAATGATACTCGACTATAATTAAAATTCAACAAGAAAAAGCTTGATCTTTGATCTGTTCTATTAAAATTTCTGTTGAAACCTTTTCTAAAGATTTTTATCATAATCAGGGTCAGTTCTGACATCCATACCATGGGGCTACATATCCAGTGTCCACGGCAGACACAAGGCTCTCCTAATTGCTCTTTGGGGGAGTTTTGTATTTTCCTTCATCAGCTCCTTCTCTGTGCACTGGATCATGCTGGCTGTACTCAAGGTCTTCAGTGCTAGCTTGTGAGTAGGTATTGTAACTTTAGATAAAACATTGTAAAGTTTCTATACATAATTTTCAGCTTGTTATTTTTTTAAATTGTCGGTAAAGAGTTAAAAGAAAACAAAAGACAATCTCATTGACACACATGTGAAGGAATAATGGACCACGGAGGATTTACCTTCAATGACTGTTTTCTGTCGACTGAAACAGGCTTAAGCCTTAATCCATGTCGCGGAGAACCTAACGGGTAACCGGGGCTCCGGCTCGACGTGCAGGAGAAGGAACGATGTGGTTTTTAGTCAGTAAGAGTCTGACACTCCCTCTCGCCTCACCCAGGCGTTAGCAGTCATTCGGTGAATTTTCCCCTTAAAAAAAGCCTTAATCCATCCATAAGGTTGCTTGGAAGAGATTGCTGTTAGCGATAAAGCTGCCCATTTTACAACAGATACCACAAATGTAACTTTAGAATAGGTCGTGGTGGCCCGGAGGTTTAAGACGTCCTCTTCTCATGCATGTTGATGCGGGTTCGAAACCTACCAAGTACCAATGACAAATACCAATGTGACGTTTTCCGAGTTATATGTGTACTTACTTTCTAAAATTATCTAGACACCACTGACAAACGATGAAGGAAAACATCGTGAGGAAACCTGGGCTTATAATTTCCAATTAAAAGTTTGAAATTGCTAACCCGCATTGAGCAAGCGTGGTGATTAATGCTCTAATCTTCTCCGTGTGAGAGGCTTTGCTTAGCAGTGGGCATTTATAGGCTGTTGATGATGATGATGAACTTTAGAATAGTATATCTACAATAAAGAATGTATCTACAATATCTCTTCCTACAGTTCTAGCGGTGTCCACTCCAGTGCTTATGCTCTGTTGAATGAATCATGTTGTGGCTCCGTGCGAGGAGTGTACATGCTGATCATGACCAGTGCCATGATGCTGTTCGTGCTGTCCTATGTCGGTGAGTATTTCAAAGTATAGTGTATAGTTTAAGTGTGGGAGAGCCATGCTTCGGCACGAATGGGCCCGGCACGACCGGAGTGATACCACGGCCTCACAGAAAACCGACGTGAAGCAACGCTTGCGTTGTATTTCGTCGTGTGAGTGAGGTTACCGGAGGCCCAGTTACCCTCCTCTTCCCCAATCTCCCCAATCCCTGAATCCCCAACGATCCTCAAACTCCTAATCCCCAAAAAGCCGGTAACGCACTTGTAACGCCTCTGGTGTTCCAGGTGTACATGGGCGACGCCGATTGCTTACCATCAGGTGATCCGTCTGCTCGTTTACCGGTTTATGCCATGAAATAAAAAAGTATTGCAAATCTTAGTTTTAAGTTTAAGAGTGTTACTTAATGCTGCCATAAAAATTATAGAACATCAAAACATCACGCCTTTTATCCCCCAAGGGGTAAGCAGAGGTGCACATTACGACACTTAATGCCACTGTACAATGTAACACCCACTTTTCACTATTTATGTTATGAGTCCCATGTAACAAGGGTGAGCCTATTGCCATTTAGGCGCAATTCCAGACTGCGTGCTAAAATAAAAAAAAGTAATACTTTTCCCAACCCGGGAATCGAACCCGAGACCTCTTACTCGGCATAAAAGTATTCTCAAGTAATAGAATCGCTAAACGCAGAGTGATTGCCCATGCGCATTGAACAGGCGCAGATAGTTTTGTGTAGAAAATAAATCAGTTTTACTATGTCTACACAAAATAACAGATATTTTGTTCCGTACAGTGCCAGCCTACTTGATACTCCAGTTTAACTTCTCATACGACCTGGATATTCTCATCTTCACATCCTGGAGGCTGCTGACCATCACGCTTGCTGTGCCACTCGGCATCAGCGCATTCTTTCTACATTTTTACTACGAGAGCCCCAAGTTCCTGGTGAATGTCGGTCGTGAAGAACTGGCTCTGGCGTATCTTGCCAAGATCTGGGCGAGAAATGGTCGAAAGGGTGATTATCCTGTAAGTTACACAAGTTAGTACAGTGTATTTCTTGGTTCGTTGCTCTTTCTTTATTTTTGAGCTAATCGAGGATGGTAAAATAATTTGAACTGAAATGTCAAATGTCTGATGAAAACTATCGTGAGACATAATAAATTAACTAAAAATCGCGGGTTACTCACGTGAATATACTGAGAAAAACTACTAGTTTCGAACCGCAGAAGGGTTCTTCCTTAAGAGCAGAGAGGGCGGTCGCGGCGATGTTGCGCAGCCTACTCTAATAGACTAGTACAGCTTTTCTCGATATATTCACGTGGGTAACACACGATTTTTAGTTAATTGACCTAATGAAATTGGTTTTTGTATTTTTAGCGAAAATAATAAAAAAATCCCACGTATAAGAGAACAAACAGGTATAGTCCTTACTTAGGGGATGGTTAATAAAATGGCTAACCACAAAACTTTTAATTTACGCAATTTATTAGAAACTAGCTTCTGCACGCGACTTCGTACGCGCAATTCCATTTTGCCCCCGTTCCCGTTCGTGATTTTCGGTAAAAAGTAAAAAAAAGTATTCTATAAAAAGTATCCTATGTCCGTCTCCTGGTTCTAAGCTACCTCCCTGCCAATTTTCATCTAAATCGATTGAAGCGTTCTTGAGTTATAAATAGTGTAACTAACACGACTTTCTTTTATATATATAGATTGGGGTTCTTACATAATTAATCTTATCTTACACTATTTATATAAAGCTGGCGAGTTTGTTTGTTTATTTGAACGATCTAATCTTCGGAATTACTTGTCCGATTTGAATATTTCTTTCTATGTTGGATAGTGTATTTATTGAGGAAGGCTATATGCTATAAATCATCAAGCTACGATCAATAAGAGCTGAGTAGAGCGGGTGAAACCACGCGGCAATAACTAGTTATTTATATGGCGTTCCAGGTACAAAAATTACGTCTAAATGAAGACAGAAGTTTCAAATATGAAGATGGACATATTTTGAGGTCCATGTGGCTACAGAGTGTACCGTTGTTTAGGAAACCACTGCTCTGGAGGACATTGCAACTCTTCTACTTGACAACCATCGTTTATAGCGTGTAAGTTCATTAATTACAGAAGACATTTTAATATTAATATCTTTACATATATAATTCTTCTGTGAGTATGTATGTCACTGAACTTCTCTCAAACGACTCTCAACTCCTCTCAAGGGGATCTGGGAATGGTTTAAATTCACAAATCAGGCAGATGGCGCTGCAGTCGATGTTTAGGTTATTTATCCTAAACAGCTGAACTAATTTGAATGAATTTTTGTTTATACATTCAAGTGGATATGCAGGACAACGTCTGTTGGGTCCGCTAGTATATATATATATA